ATAATGAGCTAGACGTTGATGCATACAAAGAGTTTAAAAATATCTTACATGATATTCTTGTTCAAGTAATGCTTAGAAATAAAAAAAATGCTGAGGACAAAGTTTATAAGAAGGAAAATTGAGATGAAGTTTCATGGAATAATTAAAAGAAGGTTACAGAATGTTAACATCCCTTCAAGAATATATATTGAGGTGCCCATTATATCAGTTCAACAAATATATATATATATATATATATATATATAATATATATATATATATATATAATATAATATAAATATATATATATATTATATATATAATATATATATAATATATATAATATGTGAATTAATGCCAGCCAATTTTTATTCAAGTTGGTTCTCCAAAGGCTTATCCAAGGCGTTGAAGCATCTCATCACTTTCATGCCATTTATTTATGGTCCAAGAATATACATTGGCATGAATTTTTGTCAAGATTGCTTTTAAAAATATAAAATTGAGATATTACACAAATGTCACGGGATCCGCATCACTTTTACAAACGGACAGAAGGCGTTTGTAGGCACCTAAAATGAAATGTTGTGCACATCTCAACGACAATTAATTGCACAAATAATCATATTTGAGTATGTAAAATACGCCCCTTCTACATTGAAATTGAATTTTCTAAATTTCAATATGCAACATCGAGTAGGGTACCGACGCCTCTAAGATGAGTGTATCAGCCTTAGGAAGCAAGCGACTGCCCCGAAAAGAGTGCTATATCCTAGAGAAGCAAGTCACTTGAGAAGCTTGCATATTAAATTATAAAATCCTAATATATATGCTATTTAAATCCCTGATGATGGCCGTGTTGAATGTTGATATCAACCGGAGGGGATTCTATACCTTCAAATATTTTCAAATGTCAAAATCACCTCGATGATGACCATGTTGAAAGCTAATCTCAACCGGAGAGGATATCAAATATTTAAAATACCAATAAATTTCAAAATTAAATCATATTTGAAATAATATCTCAATGAATTTTATATTATTCAAATAAAATTTATTATTTAAAACTTAAAGCAAAAATACATCCACATCCGCAAACGTTTGTTAAGGATGATAAATTTCAGAATAAATTAGCAAAAATGTCTAATTAAATGTATCACTGTGATTCATTCTCAAATGATTTCTCGCCAGCGGGGACGTGGCATGTGCCCTCTGATTGGGTGGTCGTCTTGCTGCAAAATAGCACCACTATATCACGGTTATGGTCAAAGCTCGTATGTTCTCCAATGGTTAAAAGCTCATTGAGTAATGAATCATAGAGTGCGCTCAATAAGGCACAAAGCTTTCTGTTAGCTAAGGTTGACTAAAATTTGTCTCCTTAAACAAGCATCCACCCCAATTCTACAAGGTACTCTTGGACGAAACTACCTATGGCTGCCGACAAGGATCCTTCTATCAGGTTGGGTCGACTACCTCATCTGACTAAGTAGACAAGGGACCACGATGACCCGGGACGACGAAACCATGAGATCTTGATCGGGCTCATCATCATTCCCCCCACCATTCGCTTTAAGTATAAAAATAATAATTTTATAATTCTGATTTCATATGTTGCTACTATATGCTAGGTATTTCGTACCTCCTTAATGACTAGCCTTAATCGAAAGTCCTCTCTCGTGATCGGGAGGGGTAATTAACCATAGGTGCTTGTGCCTATGGGAAACCTAGAACCATATTTTAAAGTTCTCACAAAATGAGGGCGAAATCTCTGGGTAGTGTTTTATCCCAAAGTTCATCTGCCTTCTGAAAATTTGACCCGAAATATCGTTAAAACTCTCATACGCAGGGGAGGCCGGGGTGCAAATTTTTGGAGCCCACAACATTGTAAAATAATATACTCATAAAAAATGATAGCGATTGAATATATTGATGCGGTACTTGCATGTGATTGTAACATTGATAATAGTGATAAAAGTATTCGATCATGAATTATGATATAGAAGCTTTCATGATTCATATATATAACAAAGAATAAATATAATTGATAGCACTTTAGTTGAGATTATGTAGATTATCTTAATATAAAATGATGTATTTACTCTTATAGTATATATATAATAGTTATTTATGAATTTCAGTGTAATGATTTAAGAATTTTTCTCATTTATTGAATATATTGATTCACATTGCTAATGACTCATCATTATTTATATTGATATATACTAATTTAATATTGATTGAGATGAACATGCATATTAAATTTTGAGACCTTGTATTCAAATCTTTGGTAGTTTTGTGGTCTTTATTGGGCTATGTAAGTTTATTATGTATATTTTGTTAATTTTAAGTCAGGAAAGAGGTCAAGATCCTATGGAGTGAGGCAGATTAGAATCTTCAAGTTTTCTTTTATTTTTTTGTATTTTGTTTTATTCTTTTATAGTTAGTAGTCTCATGAGATAGATTGATGTTATAAGTGATCTCTTGGTTATTGTAAATTTGATTTTGATAAATGAAGATAGTAAAAGATTTTGATGTGTTGAATTACTTCTGTGGGTTGTTTTTTTTAATTCAAGTGAAATTCCATTACATTAGTCCTTACTATACTTGGTCAGAACACGGTTACAATAAGCATTAAACATTAGTCCTTTAAGAATGTATAAATAATATAATTAAGTTTGCTATCGAAAGGAAAAAAAAAAGAAGATATTAACAATTATCCATTTTTTAATTTATTTCTTACTACTTCTTATACAGCTCTTACAAGACATACATTTTAAGTGTACCATGTGAGGGGGAACTTCAAAACCATTATTAAGCAACCAAATTACCACAATGAAGGGAAGCTATGATAGTTGAACGCCAAGCTCTTGAGATGAATCACCCTTGATATGTCGTCACTTTATTGCCAGTAAAGCATTTAATTGGGTGCAAGTAAACATATAAAATCAAATATAACTTTGATAAGTAGATAACGAAGTACAAGGCATGCCTAATTGAATAGGAATACACTCAACAAGAAGAGCCAACTTATGAGAAACATATTCCCCAATTGTCTAAATGGTTACTATTAAGATGCTTTTAACATTTAACAAATTGTGTTCCGAATCAACTGGATATAAACAACACCTTTTTAAACAATGATCTACCGGTAAAAGTTTATATAGACTTGCTTGATTTCACTAATAAAGGGGAGACATCTCAAACCAAAGGAAAGTTAGCATGTAAATTACATAAGTTAATTTATGGACTAAAGAAGGTATCATGATGATCGTACTCTAAATTCTCCATGTCATTAATTAATTTTGGCTTCGGTCAATCCAAGTTAGATTATTCATTATTTACCAAAGGAGCTGGAACCACATTCATAGCATTATTTCCCTATGTCAATGAAATTATCATTACTAGACCTATTTCTATCATAGATTCATTGAAATCATTCTAAGCACCAAATTTAAACTTACAAGCTTGGGGGATTTAAATTATCTCTTAAGCCTTGAGATTGCTAAATATAGCAAAGGCAACATCCAATCTTAGCAATAATACACTTGACAACTTTTGGAAGATGCAAGAACTTTTGCTAGTGAACCAACAAACATTCCAATGGATCCAAGAAATAAATAAACTGTTTATGATGGAGATATATTGCTTGGTAGTTCACAAAATCAACATCTTGTTAGATGGTTCTTATAACTCTTTTTATCATGCATGAACATCACATTTGAAGTACATAAACTCAATCAATTCCTATCTCAACCATATACTCTAAATTTAATGGAAATCAACCATCTGCTACATTATCTCTTGACAACTCTATGACAAGTTATATTGCTCTCTAGTTAACCTTCCTTGCAAGTGAAAGCTTTTTTCAATGTAGATTGGGGATCATGTCCCTATACATGAAGATCAGTTAGTGGACATTACATGTTCCTGTAATATTCATTGATTTATTGGAAAAAAAAAGCAATCCACTATCCAGTATCTCGAGATCATCTACGAAGGCATAATATATATGACCTTTACCGTTATTATCAGTGAATTGATTTGGATCACTCAATTGTTGTGTGACTTCCACGTTAAGAACCCCACACTTTTGCACCTATATTTTACAACAATCATGAGCGTACAAAATAGATTGAGATAGAGTATCACTTTATCAGTACAAAGTCACCAAAGGGTCTTATTAAGCTTATACAAGTCAACTCTTCAACTCATAGATATGTTCAACAAGCCATTGGCATCACACCTTTATCTTAATTTCCATCATGGATGGAAATTAAGAATATTTACAACCAATCTTTAGGTGGAGTATTGCAAGCATGGGTTTCAAGTTATTATATACCAGTCCATCCAATTATCCACTAATCCATCTAGGCACTTTTTTTACTACATAGAAAAGATATTATGTCGCGATTGTATAAGAAGGATAGCTAGCTAAAGGCACGACAATATTACATGGAGCTTCTCTTCAATAAAGAAGTATTTCATTTTGTTATCTTCATCTTCCTCATATTTCTTAACAATTTCGTCGTGTCCGTGAAGCCGTCGTGTTTAACCATGTCGCGCAGTTGCCGTAGTGTCGCCTAGCTGTTGTCACGTCAGGCTGTTGTGTAGGCCGCCCATGCTGCAGCCTCACAAACCGCTCTTCTTGACTTCACGCATACCCAATTCTTGGCTAGGGTTCGACCCGACACAAACCGCTTCGATGCAGGCCGCTCCGCTGCTCCACCTCGACCGCATGCGTGATAACTCAACCAATCGACCTCGCCCAACGACCAGGCCCTATGTGCTACGCCTACGTGAGTCGCGACTCAACAACTGCACCCACGGGTGGCCAGGTCAACTCGATTACCCGTGCGGGTCAGATTCGTGTTTGAAATCCTGTCACATTTAATTAAACGGATCGGATTCGAATCAATTCATTTACATCCAAATTGACTCAAATTGAACCCGAACCAAAACGGTTCACCCCCCAAATTGACACCCTAGTAAATGGAGTACGGAGCGGTCTTCTAAGTCCCGGAACTTCTAAAAGATTGACGCCCTAACCAAGCTTGTGGTTTATCTCCCTGTTTCCCGCAATCATTCCAAAGCCTTCGCCTATCCCCTTCAAATTTCCTTCGTTTTTTTCTCCCATCCTTCGCGGAGGTCGTCATCGCCGCCATGGCGTGTTACTAATGCCGTTCAGCGCTCTAATAACCTTAATTGCATTCAGGGGCGTGAATCACAGTTGCCCAAGCTCATCTTCTGTCACTCATGGTCACTCGCTTAATGTATTTTCCTTTTGTGTTTTTCTTCCGTGCTATGATAATATCCTGAAGTTGCTGAGTTTCTACCGGCCGTCTGGAATCTCTCATGGCGCTTCAGTTCCGTAGGCTCATTTCTACAAACTACTTGGACTTCAATAACTGCTCCATGATTGCTCCAGCCATGGTAAAGTTGACGTTTTTGAAATACTTAATGTTTTCTTGGTATATAGAATACTTGGATGGTTGGCTCACTTATTAATTGCCCTTTTCAATCCTTGTCATTTCAAGTTGGATATTTCCACTGAAAGAAAACAGGAAAATTAAGGCATCAGTTACCTTTGTTTCATAATGCGTCGATTAATTTCATAGATAATGAGTTACTTGGATGTGATTCATGTGCCGTTTAACCAAGTGAAGGATCTTCCATTGAAGAGGGAACTTTTAGTTTTTGGAATGGTCGAAAATGGGAAAAAAGGCAGGGGCTTTATGGTTTTAAAAAATATGATAATTTTCTTTTCTTGGAAATAATTTTATAACTGCATGCATTTTTTAGAATTTTTACCCTATGATTGCTACATTTTGGTCGACTTCGAATTTCCTTCTAGATTACTGATTCTGTTGAAAATTTGTTTGCAGCTCCAGTTCAAGGCAGTGCCAAATTTTCCATGTTCCTGCGTCTCATTCTCCCCAAATAGCTTCATTAAGAGGTCTGGGAGGGAAACGCATATTAGAACCTCAAATTCTTTGAATAAAATTCACAGCAATAGATATAATGTTTCTTTTTGTCTCAGTAAGCACTGGAGAAATAGCCCCCTTTGTTCTGCCAGGCAAGGTAGTCTCAACTCTGGCATGGCTGGAGGCAAGGGTTATACGCCTAATTTTCCTGCTCATGAGCTTCTGCGTAATAGATCAATTTCTTCAATTCGAAGTAAGTTTCAGCCATCTGCAAAAGCAAATGGGCTTGTTAAGGATGGCATTGATGGAGATATAAAGTCCACACCTCAAATGATTAATGTGAAGAAGAAGAGGAATAAATCTTTGTCGATTATCTATGAAAATTCTGGACAGCTGGGCACTGAAATTATCAGCCATCCTGTTACAAGGTCAGCAGAAGAAATACCGAGCGAGAGGAAGGCTATTAACGATAGTGAAAATAAGAAAGGATCAACTAAGAGCCGTAGTAAAGTTAAAGGTGGCAAGGGTTTGAAGAGGGAAAACAAGAATTATAATAGCAAGAAACATTTAGAAATTTCTGAATCTTGCTCCTCTTCTGCATCTCCAGAAACTATAGAAGTGAAAAAAGCATCAAGGGCAAAGAAAAGAAGAGTTGCTAGTGCATTGCAGATTGCACAAAATAAGAGCACAAATGCATTCACTGAAGGAGTAAAAACTAGGAATCAGCAATTGATGCCCTTATATCCACCTTCTGGTAAATCAGTTGTAATTGTGGAGTCTGTAACAAAAGCAAGGGTAATCCAGGACTACCTTGGTGAAAAGTATGAAGTTCTTGCTAGTTATGGTCATGTTAGGGACTTAGCTAGAAGGTCGGGATCTGTGCGTCCTGATGATAACTTTAGCTTGGTCTGGGAAGTACCTTCTAGTGCATGGACTCATCTTAAGAGCATAAAGATAGCACTAAGCAGGCAGGTTTTCTTTTGTTAAGTTCTAGCATAATTGCAATCCCTGAAGAAATTGATGCAGACATTTGATATATTTAGGAACTTATATCTCATATTCTTTTTAAGAAAGTTACATCCATTAGAACAATGCTCATCTACATGGTCATGGTCACAACATCTCAAGAATTAAACAGGTTAGCATGATTAAGAACTTCATGTTCTATCATTATAGTACAACAAAGTTGTTACTGAAAGCTAAAATTGGGTTTCTGGAAACCAAATTATCTGTTGAAGCCTTGAGCTGTGTAAAATTTCAATGTCTTGGGTGGTTTGAGGTTTTCTTCATTCACAGATGTTATGCTTCATGGAGAAAATCTGTCCCAAGTCCCAGCTGAACTGGTTTGATAGACTTCTATTGAACTTGTAGCTAATATATCCAATAATTTTAGCATTAAAGGTCAATTTTACATGTTTCCCTCTACTATATTTAATTGAGATGAATTTTAAATAATTCATTACCATAACAATGTAACATTGGATTATGCGGCTGATAAGCTGACTCTAAATAGTAGAGATAAGGCAAATTTTGATGATGATGATGTGTTATGCGACTGATAAGGTGGTTTTCTTTCTTGGACAAGGTCATATGCTAGCTTGTAATTTATCATTACTTTGCAGATTATAAGGCTTATTGTAGGAACAATAAGCTGTTATTGAACACACAGTTTTACTTGTGGCTACAACGACTTCATCCCACTTCATTATGTATGGGCTTTTGCAAACTTTGATATTAGTGTAGCACACGTGCTATTAAATAAGAAATGTATCTCTGTCCTTTTAACTTAAGCATCTTATGGTTTGACCTTTTCAAGATCTATGTTCTTACGTGTTGGAACAAGAGTGTGCCAAGAGTTACGAATACAAAAACTGATGTGAAACGTACATGCGATGATGGAGTTACTTTAAGAAATTAACGAGAACAATTTAAACAAATAATCCCAAAGTAAAATTATCACTTATAGCAAAAGATTGATCCTTGGAATTCGTGTTCTTTAACTTGGTTAGGCAAGGTAGAGCAAGATCAATCAACCAAGCAATTCAAGAAACACAAAGAATAATTGTAAAGCTACGATGGTAACAAGAGTCCACAATTTAATAATGAAAACTTTCACTTTTGGAGCCCATACGCTCAACTAGTCTAGGCTTTAGCGGAAGAAGAGTCTCCACCTTAGAATCGAGGTCGCTCCGAGGAAGAAGGAATCTTGGATCGTCGTTCTTGGATAGGTGGCCCTACATGGTGCATGGATCACAACTGGTAGTGGCTTCAAGAATTTAAGAAGGTTTTAGCGATGATTTAAGGAGACTATCATCGTTCCTATTATCATTATAGGTTTGGTTTGTCAACAAAGTTGTTCTGAAACTGGTTAAAGCATTGGGTTTCTGCGAAACCAAATTAATCTGTTGAAGCCTTGAGCTGTGTAAAATTTCAATGTCTCGGGTGGTTTGATGGTTTTCTTCATTCCACGAGATGTTATGCTCATGGAGAAAATCTGTCCCAAGTCCCCAGCTGAACGGTTTGATAAGACTTCTATTGAACTTGTAGCTAATATATTCCAATAATTTTACGCATTAAAGGTCAATTGTTACATGTTTCCTCTTTACTTTAATTGAGATGAATTTTAAAATATTCATTCCATATGACTTAATAAGTAACATTGGATCTGCGGCTGATAAGCCTGACCTCTAAATAAGTAGAGAGTAAGGGCAAATTTTGGATATGTGTTATGCGACTGATAAGGTGGTTTCTTTCTGGAACAAGGTCAATGCTTACGCTTGGTAATTTATACATTAACTTTGCAAGATCTAAGGCTTTACTTGTAGGAAACAAAAGCTGTTTATGAACCACAACGTTTTACTTGTGGCCTATTCGAACCGACGGTTCAATCCCATGTCATCTATGTATTCGGGGCTTTTGCAAACTTTCGATATTAGTGTAGCACACGATGCTAATTAAATAGCATGTAATCTCTGTCCTTTTTAACTTAAGCATCTTATGATTTGACCTTTTCAAGATCTATGTTCTTACGTGTTGAAAAACAAGAGTTGTGGCCACAGAGTTACGAAATACAAAAACTGATGTGAAACGTTACATGCGATGGAGTTACTTTTAAGAAATTAATCGTAGAACAATTTAAACAATTAATCCCAAATGCTAAACTATTTATCACTTATTACTGCAACAAGATTGCATCCTTGGAATTCGTGTTCTCTATAACTTGGGTGTCAGGGCATAGGTAGGGCCAAAGAGATCAATCGTATGCCATAGGGCATGTTTTGGGTTTTTTGATTTGTTTTTGATTTTGGGCTGTTTTTTTTGGTTGGTTGGGGTAGTTTTTATTTTGATTTTTGTGGGGTGATTTTGTAGTTTCTAGTTATTTTTTCGCTTACTACTTATTATTGATAGCTCACTATCAGTTCTAGTTTATGAATATCTTTTTCGTCTATGTTAGGGCTATTCACACATCATCATAATCCCGGTCTAGAGGTAAAATGTAAATAGGTCATCTTGTTTGACGTTTGTAATCAAACGATCACAAAGGTGCAACTTCCTACATTCACATGAGGACACTATTTCATAAACTCATTCTTCAAAGGTATAGTGCGTAGCCATGAGCCTTTCGAAATCGTAGCTGGCATGTAGAACAAAGGTCGTCCTGGCGTTCTTTTTTGTCGCCATGTTCTAAGCATTAGTTACCGAACGCAGCACAATTGTAGATAGCTACTTAGTTTGCCCGATCTCGGCGGAAGCTTCCGCGTCGATTAAGTAATTATGTGAATAACGCATAATAGGAGAGTATTTTCTTTCTTGAATAACTCCTCTTGCATTTCTCTCAATAGTATATTTTAATGCTACAGTGTCTCAAAATGATTGTTTCTTGTTGAATAATATTAAGGAATTACTAAACCTCATCTTCCTTTTGTCTTTAGTTGAATCGAAGCTTCACTCTTTGGCATAAGATTTGCCATAGTAATTAGAGAGTCCCGTGTCTAATTAAATGAGATCTGACATTATATGTTAGAGTTATGTGGTCAATATATATTGAGAATATCAATTAGGTCTTAGATAATGATTCTTGCTCCTGTAATTAAGGGTATCTTGAAAAAAGTTACCACTGAGTTTCAAGTGCATCTGCACGCACACTATAAACGTGCCGAGATAGAACATAAATGACTTATAAATACTCCTTTATGATTAAACATTTTGCTGTTTCTTCAACGTTACTGTTATTCTGTTCTCGAAAGTTATGATAGTTATCATGCAATAACGGCATTCGTGCGTAGTAGGACCTCAGTGCCAGATAAATCAACATCAGTAGCACTTTCAGCCAACTCTTTGCCCATAGTAAAGGAGGAAAAAACTTAATATTTTTGAATATAATGATCGTATGTACGATCAACCATCGTACTTGTACGATCTGTTAGTATTAGAAGCCCCGTCCTTATTAGGCAAAATTTGAATTGAAAGGTTGTATAATCGTACTGTACGTCATAATGGTACTGTACAAGTTAAAATATGCCTAAGTTTATCCTGAGATTATTCTCAAACGGCTGAATTTGTCATTTGGATCGTACTGAACGAACTGGTCGTTACTGTATGAACTGGATCGTATACAATCGTACAGGACATCGTCATATAACGGTCATTTCTGCAACAATCGTATTGGACGATTTGCGAATCGTACAGTATAATGACGCCCGAATTGGAGTATTTTTAGGGTTTTTGAGCCCTCTATTAAGCTTCATAAGACTTTGTAAGTGTCTTGGCAAGCCTGTGTCTTGTTTCTTTGGAGAAACTTGAAGAGAGGATTGAAGGGAGAGAGGAAGGGTGAGTTTGGAGAGAGGGAGAAATCTTGGAGGGGGTTTTCAGGGAGTGTGAAGGAGATCACACGGTTCCCGGCGAGCTTGCACCTCAGTACATGATTCAAGGTTCGTCTTGAAGGAAGTTTTTGGAAGAAGAAGATTCAATCGGTCAAAGGACCGCTCTCCGCGCACCGGGGAAGGTGGAGTGATTGTGTAAGGGGTGGTCCTAGCTTGGGAGCTAAGGAGAAATGGACTGGAAAAGTTATGTAAACTCGAGGGTGCTCCGGAGTGGACGTAGTCATGGTTGACCGAGAGATATAAATCTGGTGTTGTTTTTCCTTTATTTTTCTGCCTTTTGTTTGGCATTTTATTTTTATTTGTGGTTAAATGCGTGGATATTGATTATTATTCCTTTTTGATTGTGAGATTCCGTTCGCTAACATAAAGATGTTTCCTTTTTCATTAAAAGAGTTTTTATCATCGTCATTCAACCCCTCTTGTTCGTTCGTAATTTCAATAGGTATCAGGAGGAAGGAGTTTCAATTGTCGTTCAGTAATTCGACACATAAATCTGTGCTATCAACCACGGATGTGGCAACTGAATCATCACTGAATCAGGAACTGGCTAGTTTGGCAAGAGAATGTCCTACTGCAAAGCAATGGAAGCACTTAGGTTGAAATCCATCGACTTCAAGTCAAACTAGGAGATTCGAGAGTAACTCATTGGAGTTGGAGATGAATTAGGGTTGAAGGTGTGTAAATGTCTCCAACGTAAGTGCTTTTTAGGAACAACTTCTTCTCAGGGGATTTGGGCGTCTTGCCTTGATATCCGGATGTTTCAGAGCTTCATTTCCCTTAGTTTGACAACTACTGAGCACCTTACAGCTTTGGAAGGGGTATCGGGGTTGAAAGTCGTTAGGGATGTTAAGCTTATGAACTTAGTTCCAAGTAACCAAGAGTGGGGGGTGATTGGAACTTTAACACCAAAACCAAACAAATCACACAATCAATGTGCCGGAAATTTAAGAACATGGAAGCTAAAAAGAAAGAACACACGCAGATTATAGTGGTTCGTCACCTTGAACTACGTCCAAGTCGTTGGAGCACCCTCCAAGTATTGCATACAAAGTGTCTCTCCTTATACTCCCACAGCTAGGGAGAGT